GTGACCCTTAGCCAACTGTGATCCCGCTGGCAGCAGCCTTTGGGTACTCTTCTTTGTGATGACAGGTTTTGGGCAGTCTGGTTGGAAACCAAAAAGGGCAGTGTTACAGTTATCAAAAGAATCGTCAGTCACAAGACTCTGGACTTCGACGTCTACTCTGAGTGTCCTATCTCACGCACCCTTCCACTCACTCAGTTGGTCAATCTCCTGAGTTATGGACTGTTGCTCGCGTAGTGTTCAAGCCGTTCACGCTCAACAAGATCACCTGAAAAATGACACCAACTAGAGAGACAAGCTGAAACGCTGATGGAAGACATGTGAGACACAAGCAAGGTCGTACCCATGTGTTCGTTGATCACTTCGAGCAAGACACAGATTATTCTTGAGGAAGTACTTTTGATCAGGCTGCCAAACTTTCCAAGTCTGTAATCAGAGCCTCGCCGTTCGCCAATGGAGGTGCTGAGGCAACTAGCGCCTGAGGACGCAAGAGGTGCAAGCAAACAACCCCTAGTCCGCTGACCCCAAGCTAGCTTCCGCCTAGCGGAGCGAAGCCTGGGATATCGCCTGAAAGCAATTGCGCGAAGGGTTCCCACTGCGCACCCGAAGTCATTGGTAGCAGTGGTAGCGTATCCGGCGCAAACTACAAACGACGAGTCACACTCTGAAGTTCTTCCTCTTCTACGTTTCAGTTGAATGAGTGGTTCTTGAGCCATGTTTTGTGGTGGGCCTTCGGTGAAACATGCGGCAACGTTCAATTCTGACTGCACGCATAGCCCCTTCGTTCTCAAACATGTAGAAAAGTCTTCAACATGTATATAGATCTTGGACGAAAAGGCGCCCAAACCTTCGCGTATCACGCGTCAGAACCGAAGGAGACCCTATGACCCCGCTGCTGGCCTCACAAGTTGAAGCCACAAGTGGATTTTTCCGTCCGACGCAGCCATGTGAACGGTTATGATTTTGCGCTCTTCCTGTCGGAGATCAGGATGCAGTCGAAAGAAAACCCGACGAGAGTCCGACCGTGGTCGACCCTGTGGCCGCGGCTGCAGGCAGCCCCTCTTGTGGCTGTCGTGCCATGCGTAAGGCGCCTCCGAAAGAACAAATCCTTGAGGCGTTCTTGCCTGTTGCCAAGGCAACATGTCCGGGGGCGGCGCCCGCCCCGCAGCCAAATGCTGCACAAAATGTAAATGTGCATCTGTTGCTGCAAAGGATGACACATCTCCAGCGAGCACAGCGACCGCGCGCGGAGAACTGGAGCGGTTCGCACTGCTGTGTTGGCACCTCTCTGTTCTCCCTGCAGTCGGTCGCCTCCACGGCGCAGTAGTGTTGTTCCAGCTCAGAGCTGAAGGTGAGAGCGACGATAGATTCTGTTGACTCTGATCATGGTCGCCGTTCCAGGCGCGGAGTTTGTTATTTTCTTTCTTCTACAAGCAGGTGACTGCGTTCGGCTACAATGACTCTCTTCAAGCTCTCTGCACGAACACGCGCACGCCACGCAGCGAGGAGCAGGCAATCTAAGCCTCATATCCCTGCCACCGACATGGCCCCTCACCCTCAGAAATGCCAGCTCGGCCAGGCTTCCGCTTGCGATGGACGACCTTCAGCTGCAATGGCACGGTCGGACATATGCATGATCGTCTCCTGAAAGCGGCCCAAGCTCAAAACAAGAAACCCTTACATGTTTGTGCGAAACCTATCTCCTCCTTGATCATGTCCCATGGAAAGTTGTTGAGGACTTCAAGCGCCCGCCAGAGGCACTGGCCATCTGCTGACACGGTTGTATGATCAAGCTGGCCTTTGAAGCTGGCTCTTTCAAGGAGCACAACGCCACCGCCAAGTTGCCAACTCTGATGTGCTTGGCGATGTCCCGTGGAAGTCCGTAGTCTGGCCCAGGATGATGTTGGCGTGGGTCACAAGGTCACTAGGGCCTCCAATTTTGTCACTTCTACTCCAAATTTACCATCGACCCATTGGCGTTTGCCTTTCCGCTTTTGGGTTCCCCTGCCATTTCCACTCTTGATGAAAAATCTTTGTGCGCAGAACTAGGGCCTAAGGGCGTGGCGCAGGGTTTCGAAACTGCCGCTTGGCACCCCTTTCGGGCCCCTTCTGCGCGCAGAACTAAATGGGCTAATGGCGTGCACAGGTTTTCACGTTGATGCTTCGGCCAGGACTTCTGGCATTGGTAGGCATCAGCAGCACCCGGGCGTTAGCCCATTCTTTATCTGTACGAAGCAATCAAACAAAATGAAAAAGTACTTCGTATCCCTCATGCTACAATGCCACTATTGCCACAATGTCCAAAACGCAGGAATAAAAGATCGTGAAAGTATGTCAACTTTGATTACTTAGCTCCTGCAAAGAACCTTTCCCTCCAACAGGGCTTGCTTTCAGGTAACCTCGTTTGTGGGCCCCATGCAAATCTCTTAACATGTCGCAACATAGGAGCGCAGCACCTAAACCTTTGCCCCTTGTGCCTCCGTAGCGAAACTACCACTTCACAGCTCGGAGCGTCAAGCTCCAACCCACCCAACAAGCAACTGCAGTGCGTGACTTCTTTCCAAGTGGCACGGGTAGCATCCACGGCAGCCACGGAGAGGCGGCGATGGGTCGGCGCAAAGGTCCAGTTGCTCTCGCTGACGTTGGCCTGGTGGCTTCTATGTCCACAAGTAGTCAAGCAATCCAATCGCGAATGCAGTCCACCTCTTTATGAAGACCAAACCTGGTTAACCTGCAGGGAGACAGATCACCTGATCTCCGGTCCGTTGGACTTGGTCATTTTCGAGCTTCCAACCACGCAACTTATCATATATTTCAATCAGGGTGCATATCACGTTGCTGAGCATGGACAAACCATGTAGCCCAACCTCAGCTCTACCAAGACCACAAGGGACAGTGCGGTAAGCTGAATGCCTCAGTGTTGTTGTCGCTCACCAAGGACCTTGGCCGGTGAAGGTGGATTTTGAGATGCTTCTGTAGGCTCTCGCCCCTAGGAAGAGTTGCAAGAGTGCACGACATGCTGTAAACATTCACCGGAAAAGAAAAAGGAACCGAGCTTCCTCTGGCATAAGGAACCATTATAGTTATAAGTGTTTTGTGCAGGAGGAGTGAGTTCTCTTTTTGGTTCATTCAGCAGGGAGGAACAGTCTCTAGCTCTCTATGGTCGCATTGTGAGCTACGTAGTTCAAGTGGCCCTCATCGAAAGGCCAACGGTCGCCCTGTTTCGCAACGGTATCAGTGTCAGCATGGATGTTTACGCCACGTCCAGTGGAGTATAATGTACGAGTTCCAACCAGAACTCCTCCGCTTCAGGGAAACATGCTGTGCAGTGCTATCTCAGCCAGGCAACACATTCCCAGCAATGAGGGCGGTCTCACCCAGAATGAGTGCGCCATCGGCCACCTTATGGGACAGCAACCCGATCTCCGGCGATGTCGAGTTATCGTTGTAGTGGTAGGTCCCTGGTCGGTCGCCTCGACGTCCGAATTCCAGGTCCCTCCACTTTACATCCCATGTCGAGAACACCTGCCCTCTACTGTCCAGCAGGTTTCCCCACCATCCCTTTTCACATCTGTTCACGTTCAACTAGCTCAGCACTTGGACGGCCTCATGTCTGACCACAATCTCTTCCAACTATAACAAGCAGAGACAAGCCCCGAGGCCATCCCCCGGCCTCAACAACTCTGGCCTGCACAGGCAAACACATTGGCATGTGGTCGTCAACGGTTTTGGTCATCCCTTTCTGACTTTGCCATGCTCTCCACACACCTCGTCTCAGCATCACCAGTTTACAAGTCAGCCAGGACACTGTAGTGAGGGATCAAAATGACAATCAATGGGTCTAGCACACTGACACTTAATTGGCGTGTTTGATCACCGGCACCCCACCTGCAGGCTTGAGGTCGCATCATCTGCGAAGGCGACCACTGCAGTTGACTCAGAGAGTGCAGCCACATCAATGTTGCTGGTCCTTAGTGGGTGAGTGTCCATCTCAGGACAACGTGAAAGCCAGGGAGAGGAGGCCATTCAGGAAGGCCTCAACTGGGTGCCAGACGTTCCAGCATTCACCACCTGAGCGTTCGGATGCAGACTCCAAAACTGAACTCCAAGAACTGTTTGTCTAATCATCTATGAAATCTATGATGGCTCAAACCCGAGCCGCTTAAAGAGCCAGTGTTTTCGAGCCATGGATTTCCAAGGAAGCAAGCAGACGAATGTTCTTTCCATGAAGCCAACTCTGCATGCTCTGGAGCCCCAGCCTGCTTCGCTCCGAGATGAAGGCTCCACTGGTCTGGAAAGTGGTGGACCACAGTGATCAGCACCACCTGATCCGTGCAGTTGGGCCGCAAATAGCCTTCAACTGTCCAACTGGCTTGGATTTTCTCGTATCGTTACCAAGATTATGCAGCAATAGGCAAATGCTTCACATGACCCAGCACAACCCCTTTGCTCTTTCAATCTTTCTCTCGCATGCAAATCTCCCACTTCTTGGCAAAAGAACAGTTTGAACCAGATTGAAGAATTTAATAGCTACTAGGAACAAGTGCCTTACTAGTAGTAACAAGAAGCTATTAGTAACAAGTGCATCGCTAGTAGTAACAATGTTCGCTACTATTCACTGGTTACTAGCTCATCACCTCCCTACGCCCTGCGCTCTCCGGGCGTCCCCACAGTTCCAAGCTTGGAGGAGCCATCGAGAAAAAACTGCAAGCAAAGAGGTTGGAGACAGTCGGGCGACCTGAGCTTATGAAGACTCTGACTCTTGGACTGTCAGCAGAATCTCAGCAAGAGCAAAATCGATGCTTGTAGACAGACTGGCTGGAGAGCTACAAAAAGGCCTTACTGTGACAGGCTGGAAGGTCTTGAAGATGAATCTCTCTGCTGCGTGGGTTCATGTACCTCTTGAACACAAACCATTGTAGTCAATGTGTAGAGGTATGTAGCATGGTATGTAGATGTGTGTTCTAAGTCTACGAGAGCAAGGGAATGCCCACATCTCCCAGCCTTCTGCGACTCTACAGCCTCACGGCTTGTGTACGCACAAGCCTCGGCTCTGACTCTTCAGGTTCTGCCACAAGTTCAAGATTCAGGCCGAAAGACAGAGTTGAGCCATACATTTGTTGAATTGCAAGCTTTTAAGATTGTCGCCATGCCCAAAGGTTGCCGGTGTTCTCTCCTCTGAATGATAGGATCAGGGATCCGTTGCTGGGTTCCCTCATAGCTGCCAAGTCTGAATACTGAGCGTGCTGCTGCATATGGGTCACTGGTGATGCACGGTCTGAATGCATCCTGTGGAGGCTTGTATCGGGTCCACAGAACCCACAAAGCAAGCCATGCACGAGCGCATGTGTTTCTTGAACATGCTAAGGCTAGGAATCGATAGTCCAATAATGTTCTAAACACTCTGATAAACACGCATACAGTACATAATTGTTTTACCACATGTGCATATCTGCGCACCAACTCTGCCCGCCTCCCAATCACCCAAGCCCTCCGGAGGCATGGAGTGGAAGTGCTGGGTCGCTCGACGAGCTTGCCATGTGGGCCTCACGGCGCAAGAGTTACAAAGCAGCGAACAGGATCTATGGCATTCTATGGGTACTGGTAGTGCTCAAGTACTGAACAACAAGAAGAGGCAAAGAACTAGAACATGAATCGATTGAGTTCTTGATGAGGCCATCCTATTCTTCTCCAATACAAGCGCAAGGAAAAGCCGATCTGTATCATCTGCAGTGGGTCATCGTTGCCCAGACATGACTCTGCCAGGCCATGAGCGATGGATGCTGCATGAGCTGGCTGAGGCCCCCAGCGCCCACTGAGGGCCTGTTGGTTGAGCCTGTGGGGAAGACCGGATGCACCATAGCAAAAAATCGCAAAAACAACCAAAAGCTGAGGTCTTCTATCCAGTCTGGGTGTGCTCTATCACTTTCTACGGCATGTTTGCTGAATCCTTGGGCTAGGCAGCTAGAGCTTCTGGTCAAGCGGTCGACACAACACAATAATCAAATTGCGGTGTATGGCTGGAAATAGGGGTTGTCGACACAGCTGATATTCTGAAGATCCAATGTAGCATGTAGAGTCTTTGCGTCGAAGAAATGATTGCCCCCAGACACAAGGTTGAGGCTCACATATCCTTGCTGGCAATCCTTAGCCGCTTAGCCTTCGCTTCCCTAAGTCGGTAGAGGAGGCTAAATGACATTTAAGAAGCTCGTGCCAAACGCAACGATTGCTTGCGGAGGCTCAGTCATTTAAGTCATACTGGCTCCCTTTTCAATTTGCCTTGTGAGGAGGAAGTGGGCGAGCATGTCGAGTGGTTTTCATCTGTCTGCTCTCCCCTGCGTCAATGCCTTCAGCATCATCAGGTTCCCTGGATGCCTCTCTGGACTTGACAAATCCCGATAGCCTTGGGCTGAGCTTTAGAAAGGTGTCAATTGAAAAGGCAAACAACAGAGGCCAGAGGCTGGTCAATCTAGTGAGCATGTTTGAGAGAATACACCAAGATAAATAGGCTTGTGTGAGCTCAAAAGTTCACAGTCTGGAAGATTTACCACTGCGAACCCGGACATGAATTCCAGTTGAAAAATCTAGTCGCCAGAATTCTTCACCCAGTTCCAAAGACAGCGCGGGCCACAGCTGGCCTGTGACTACGACATAGTCTGTGTGCTTGGAGGTAAAATCATCACCTCAGCAGGAGGGCACTGGAGACGTTTGGCTCCCCTAATGCGCACACAGGATTAAGTAACCACCCTATTAATCAAGCCCCGCTCGAGCCCCCAATACTGAACCAATTTAAAACCTGAATTCCACATGTACATCACCCTAATGATGTTTTCCCTACCAGAAACCTCCCTCTATTAATCAAGCCCAGCTGCCCCAGAAAAAAGAAAGTTTACTACTATAATTACAGTATTCTTATTTACGGCCAAGGCCAGCATCCAATATCTTCTCGTCAGCATCCTTTGTTCCTACCAAAATCTGAACGTTTTCTAGCTCACAAAGGGTACCCTTTGACAGGCCTCAGTGTTCACACAGAATCATATCAACCATCATCCATCATCAGGTCATCACCTTTATTAGCGGGATGTGGTCTCCAAAACCTCCGATCTCAAACCTTGTTGACCTGGGGGGGGGCCGTTTATTAGCACAGTTGGGCTATGAGTTCAAGATTTCCACGTACTTGTTGGGTAACATTGAAAAATAGCTCGCACACCAGACCCCAGACCTCTCTTCACGTTCACTCGAAGCAGTGACTGGCTAAAATCCTCTTGGGAGTGGACTCGAGCTTTCCAGTCAGCCGGGCTGGGGGTCCTGCAGCTCTCGCAGTCCAGTAGCCCTTGCTTCAGTGGGCGCCGCATGGTCAACGCCACCGCTGCATAGCCATCGGAGGGCCGCTGGTGGAAGACGTATCCTTCGACCACATTGGGGGGAAACGCTTACCATCATGCTTTCACAAATCGCAATGTTGATTTTGGGACTGCACTAATGACACAAACCCTATCATCAGTCATGCAAATTGACCTCTCAGGGATTTCTGTAGACCATTTGTTCAGGGTTCTGCAGCATTTCAGGAGAAACCTCAAGCCCAGCAGCCTCCTGCAGGCAATGCCCGATTGGTGGCATCGACCCGCAGCACGGCACCTGCAGCATGGCCTGCCATGCTACAGCAATCGTAGTCCTCAGCGAATTGGAGTTGAAATGAGTCAGAAACTACAGTTTTAATGTGCTTCACTATGTTTTCGACCACACGTGGGATTGTATTCACCATGTATGCTGGTGCAAGTGTTAATGTGAATGGAATCTGCTCCTGTCTTCACTGCTCAATCATTATGAAAACAAAAAAGAAATCCAGGAAAAGTGGCCGCACAAAAAATGAACATGAGATGGGATCCGTGCAATTGCTCTGCAAGAAACTGCCCACTCTGTGGGAGAGCCCACCAGTGTGTTGCTCGTCTCCGGCGTGTCGCTAGGATCAGAGTAGAGGGCCAAAACTCGATGCTTGTCAGCTTTCTCACCTCGCTCCAACACGCAACACCAGTCACTTCTGAAACCAAAGAGGAAAGTTACACGGAGGATGAGGATACCAAACCAAGCCACAGCCACTTGTGAACTTGTCTGACTTCGCTGAATACGGGACTACCATTGGTGGTGCTGCCTATATATCATATATCTCAGAAATGTGACCCGCTGCTTTGACACGGACCCAGACTGATGTCTCAAGACCCAGAAATCACAGCGTTCAAAAACCATCTCTTTCATGAAACTACCTCCATGTCACCAATCATATCCAATTATGCTGTGGGCATGGCAAAATGGGCTTGCCAGGATACTATCAACTAGTACGGTCGGAATGAAGCTTTAGATAACCTCCGACTGTGGCTTGATGTTCTCCTTCCCTTCCTTCCATTTAGCTTTTGCATGATCCGAGCCACTGTCCAGCTGTACCAACCCGATGGCACCCACTCTGCCCTCGAAGAAGGATGTGCTTGCGTAGTGCATCGGGTAGGCGACCTTCGAGCCCAAAGTTTGATGGTGTGTGAACAACGTACTGTCTGGTGTGCTTTTTGTTTTTCTCCTCTGGAGCAAACACTGCCGCTGGGCAAGGTGTCCATCTTTCTAGTTGGAATGGTATGTTCACTAGGATTATGTATCACGTCCCAGGTGATTGAAATCAAATGTCTTTTTGTGCCCTTCCCTCAAGTTTCAGAATCCTGTTTATATATTTCTATATATATGTCTATTGATCTTCCTGTCGATCCCAGCCTCGAAAGGATAGTCCTCCAAGTCCACTGCACTCCCATTCTTCGGATTGCTGCCCCAGCAGATCCGCACGCCCAGCGGCAGCGCCTCAACCAGCAAAGCGCCCAAGGCATAGAGCCCCTCTACGCTGGGCACGGCCGTGTCGGACTCCACAGCCGTGGGATTGGAGAGACCTTCAAACAGAGGGCAGGAAGAAACACATCAACCCACTTCTGGGTAGGTGTCTAGTGATAAAATATGAGAAAATCAACACAACACAACAATGCACGGTCTGCACATGAAGTTTTTAACACCGCGCCTGCGATGCTCACAGCCGTGGCATTGGTGGCCCCACAACGTCCCTCATTGCTGATGAGGAGGATCTTGCTGGATGGCAGGATTCCACTCCTTAAGCGTGCAAAGAGTCTGTCAAACGGACCTACCCAAGTAACAGAAGGCACCGAAAAGGAATGCTAAAGCCGCGCGCATGGAGTCCGTGTAGACTTTCAGACCTATATAGATAAATTGGATCTGGGTGCAAAGGAAGCATGGCGAGTCATCCAATATGTATTTTAAAGCCTGTCCTTACTTAATTCACTAGACGCCTACTTAATTAAGTAAGGGAGTAAGCTTCTAGTAACTGGACGCAGGATAACTCACGTACTAATGATTTGGTTCCTAGATTGTTAGGGTATGACCGCCGGCCTTCGCAGATCTACGAATGATCCTGCAGTTCTTGCAACATCTTTTGTGGATAAAGGTTTTAAGGACAGTGGACAATCGATGATACTGGTCTCTTTCTGAATTCTGCCACCCAAGGCTCCCCATCACCGTGATGTGGCAGGGCCTCCCCAGCACGACGCAGTCCACCACGGCGCTGAGGCGAAACCATCGCAGGTCCGGGTCGATCTCCACTCGGTAGAGGGTGGAATCCTCAGAAATTTCCCCTCGTGATTCTGGGTTCTGTTTGGGAATCAATAGGTCTCTATGTTGGGAACACTTCAACAATTCATGTGAAGATTGAGAAGCTTCATCCAGGCTAGAAACAGCAGCCACGGGCCTTTCGGCGATTTTCTTGCCAGGACTCCGACAGCGAACCCTCCCTCTCTGGATCATGAGCCCAGCAAATCCGGTGGGATGCACCATGCTTCCCAGCATTGATGCCGAAGGAGTACAGGTTGAAGCTGCCTGACAAAACAGTACTCAATCTTTCTATTGAACCCCATGTGGATGACATGTTGATCAGAATTCCTCTACCGTTCGCAAGGGTTCCCAGGTGCTCCAGCTTATTATATCGTCAGCATAGCTCCTCTCAACATCCAACAATTCGAGAATTCGACAGAACACACACGGAAGTGTTAAACTCTTTTGGGCTTTGGAACTGCTCCCTTGGATCCATTGGATCCCTTAGAGCACGAAGAATCACTTTGCAGTCCAATGTCCAAAGGCCTTGAGAATCTTGGGTCACAGCCGTGGGGTTGGACGTTGACCAGCGGTCATCCAACGCCGAGATGTTGGGGTCACCACAACGGCTGGTGATCTCCTCAGAGGAAATCCATGCCATCAAGGCAGTGAATGCAATCAAATATATACGGGGAACGACATCATTTCGTCAATCTGTATTCATCTCCAAGACGTAACTCCAAGGGGGCTGGTCAAGATAGTTGCCCCCCTGTCAATCCTTGAACAAAAGTAAAGGCCGCATCAAGACCCTTCAGCGGTGGGTGCTGATATCGAAATTTAACAGCATGGCCTAAAGTCTAAGTTTGCGATGTGCTACATTGAGCAATCCACCAACTCACCAACTAGTATGAGGAGGTGGAGCTCCAAGTCAGTACAGCACGGTCGCAAATCAGAGCATTTGGAGAAATCAACATAAACCTGTGATGTCTTGGTCTTGACCATTTCATCATTTCACAGCAAAGCAACATTGTTTGGAAAGCATCTAAAGCAGGACAATGGAAGGAAGGCTGCTCGGATGTTGTGGAGCACAATGAAACAAGTTGATCCCTGCAAAAGCAGCCAGCTCTTGATTGACACGTCATGTTTAGCTATTGGAGTGATTCTGGATCAAGAGCTGCCACTGTTGCATCTGGCTTGCCCTTTGTGCAAAACTAGCGAATGCAAAATCTCTTGAAGCCAACAGAAGGTTCAATCAGCAGAACCTTGTTGCTAGCCGCCAGACCAATGCCGCTGATGTTGATGATGCACGGAAAATGGAGGAAGCCTCACTTATGCTGGAGTGGTTGACGGTTGACCAGCTAACCAATCAAACAACTCAAGCAAACCAAGTCAGTTGGGGGAAAAGCAAAAGCAAGCAATCTATGCACTTGGCCAAGGCACATTCGAAGTCCATGGCCAACGGTCCCAACATTGTCATGTATCCTGCAAAAGTCTGACTCCAATCAGATGGCTCTTTTCTTCTCAACTAAATACAAGTGGCAAATCCGCTTGTTGGGATTGTTCCACAAAAGTCTGCAATCGTTCAACAGTGCCCGATAGATCACCTTCCGGAAATGTACCTGACTGGACTGACTGAACCTGAATTGTACATAGGTTGTTTCTGGATAAAAAAATCCCTACAACCTCCACATCCACAAGGAACACTCTCCACATGACGTGCACATTGAGCGTGAAGGTCCTGCATCCCGGTAAATGGAGAAGTCCTCCCCCGTGCTGGACACATTTGCCTGTGGATCGTAGGACCAGCAGAGCTTGTAGAGCCCCGGGCCAGGGGGTTCCTCAGCCACCTCCGAAGCACCTACAGCGGACAAAGACTGCCTTTCACGTGCCTGGCCAACAAAGGCCTGAGGTGGCTTTTTGGAGGCAACTTCCAGGGTTTAATAATGTTTCAACTATGCTGCTGCTTGTATATAATCCTTTGCTTCAGAAGCAGTTCGCTAGTAGGTTGGAGGCCATCGCTCTTAGGTTGGAAGCCATCGCTCTGAACCTTGTCACCTTGATACCAAATCCTTCCCGACAGAGTCACCCGGCCTCTTGTTGAGAAGCCCATGTCCCAGTGGTGGACCGGTCTGTACGTGGCCTTGTACCCATCGCTACGAGTGCATCCCTCCTTCGGATTGATGAGAGTCTCGAACGCAGCCAATGCTGGGTGGGCCTAAATGATGCAGGATGCAGCTGTCTTCAAATGGCAAAGTTACAATCTGTTGCTGAAATGGGTAAAGCTTCAATTGAGTTCAAGCATCTAACTCCAACCACCCTCTCTTTCACTCCGAGTGTCCAAGGCAGTTTCACAGCTATGCGACTTGTGCACTAGCTTCAAGCCATTGAAGGTCCTCATCGAGGTGCCATTGAGGCTGACCACACAGTGCTCCCCCAAAGTGCAGAAGACTTCGCCCACCAGGTCGCAGGCCGATGGGTTGTAGCCACCTTGGCTGTGACAATTCCCCCGTCCAAATCGTGTGATATGTCTACCAGAAACTCTTGCCAACCTTTTGATGAGCACATGACTCCATGAATGGACGATTCCATTGCCACCATCCCTCTTCCGGTGCGCCAGGCCACAGGTGGGAGCTGATGCATTGGAGATCTTCACCACGGATGGAAAGCTCAAAGTGCTAAAGCTCAAGCCGGTGGCATACCTGATCAAATGCATCAAGACCGCAGAAGTCTCTGTTACTCAGTGTCCGTTTTGGCATGGGTTCCCTATTTCAGATAATCTGGTATTGCTTCTGTAAGTGTATTGACTTGCGAGGCACCCTACCAATCACTAAATAGTAAAGGGAACGTTGTGCTTCATTTGGTTGTTGGACCAATTGTTGGACCCTACCCAGCCCATCACCCATCGAAGTCTTGCAAGTTGCTCCAGCATGTTTCGATAGACCTCCATCTGCGTGGTGAAGCCGGTGACGCTGGACTCCCAGGAGACCCCCAAGCCTCAGATGAAACCATGTAGGGCTGCTACTTATGTCCCCAACGAGTCATTCCAACCTGTGACTGTTTAATTCCAATCCAAGTCCTTCCCTGGGCTGTTTTCCCATTTAGGAATGAGGAGATCCAAATTCATCATCGCCCGTCCAAGGGCAACTCTTTGGGTGGCCTACGACCGGCAAAAAGTGGAAAGATCTGAAAAACAACAAAAACATCTTCAATGACGTCTCCTTCATCGACAAAACCTCCCTCCAAAGCAAAGACTTTCTATAGCCTAGCCGTGGAGGCTGATGCTCATCGCCAGCAGCCGCCCTGGCTCCGGTCCAGCGCCCAGCACATTCCCAGCGAAGCTGCTGAAGTCACCGTCGGATGCGCAGGCGCCGCTGCTGCTGTCAAGGGCACCAGCCAGACAGTAGCAAGCCTTGTAAAAACCATGGGTTTCGATGGTCAAGACCTGCCACGCTCGTCGGAAATGAGAAGCTGGAGCTTGGAGGAGCTCAGTCGAAATGTTGGAACGAAGAAGGGCCTTCTATCAATCTTTGAATCTGTATCATCAAGCAAAAAGGAGAGAGTAGGTTACTGGAGTGGTCTCGGCTAGTTGCAGGAGTTGTTGACAGACTTTCTGCCTTGTTCCTGGAATGTACAAGTTGGAAATTAAATCAAATTATCTATCAGCTTGTCACCAAACCCTGCCTGGGCTTCACAACCACAGGTGGTTTCGCCCTTGATGACCCTCACCTGTCAGCGCTCGAAGAGCATAGAAAAGTGAATGAAAAGCCAATGATCTATCCACATCGATCCTGGTCAACTTCACCAACCCCCGAACTAGACCTTAAGCATGAAATTTATTCATACATCTTTCAGTCTTTCATACAACGAAGGGCCCCTCACTTCAAAGGTCAGTCGGTCGTTGACCAGGCCTCCAGCTCCGGAGAGAAGCTGCAATTGCTCCCTAATGGGCAGACGAAGTAGCTCGTGGGCCCCGACAACGAGACCCCGGCCAGCAGCGTGGGCGCCACTGCCAGCTCCAAGGCTCGGGCCACCTGGCAGAATCAAGAAATCGTCCTCTATTCACATCAAGCCTTGATACAGTTAATACCAGTATAGGAATGTATAGGATATTGTCATGCAAGCCTCGATTTCACATGTTTTGAAGGTGCTGTTGCAATGTTCAGAGCGTGCCTGGGCCTTCAATGCATGAGAGTCTGGCGACTTCCCCTCAGCCGCTCTCTAAGTCGTTGCCAAAACTACCGTGTTTCAAATGTCTTTGATCACCCGAAGTTGGTGTGTGTGTGTATTGCTTTATGGAAAGCGGTACATCGTTGTGTAACTGTGTAACTGTTTCGTACGGTGAGCGGTGAGCGAATATACATGGAATATGAAAATGGCTCCTTGGTCTTCCAAGCCTTTCCTCTCACCTTTCCTTCAAAGTTGTGGCTAGAAAAACCTCGACTACCTTCTTGAAGCCAAGGTGACAAGATCCGAGGTGAAGGAGAAGCTGCTATCCGCTGTGGCCTCCGCATATCCTCGGAGCGACAGGAACCCCTCCCTCCAGACCGCAACCCAACTTGCTGGAAAACCAAAATGATTGCAAGGAGCCTCACTTGGCTTCATCTCTGGCAGCATACTTCCTGGCTTGTCTCAGCCATTGCCTGGAACCTGTACGTATGTAGATCTCTTTGCGAACGCAGTATATATATAACCTAAGATGAACCACCAAATACTCATCGGTCCATCAAACCTTTTTTGCAAGAAGTCCAAGACTCGTTGCACCCAGTTGTCCGCTTCGAACTCCGTGTCATTGGCACACGTCAGCCACAGCTTCCCTTCCCCAACAGAGTCGGGCCACAGCCATCCTTCAAGGGGACAGCAGTCTTCACTGTGAACTCGATCTGTTAGTAGTTTATCGAAGGATCTTTGCATCAGTTGATTTGGGTCAGGGAAGTCAGCGGAATCCAAAGTAGGTTCGTTGGCAAGAGGTTCAAGGTAAGGTGTATACAATGCCCTTGCCTTTGTTCTGCTGACCAAATGCAACCTTTGATCAGCCAAAAATGGAGATAGCGTTGTCCCAATCTATCAAATAGTCTAACTACTTTTCTTATTCCCTTCGAATGTGTGAAACTCATCAAAATGGACGAGTCCTCCAATGCCAAAGGCCGTGGCTTTGCAATCGATTGCGTGTCCTTGGCTAGCTTACAACTCAATTGCCGCTTTTGAATCAGTGTGGCTGCTGGCCTTGGAGTCCTTGGAGTTAGCATTCCCCACTCAACAAAAAGAGAATTGTAGAGGCACACGAATCAGATTATTTGCAAATCCAACCCCACACATTTCCGCAAGTGGTCTTAATCTGGAAGTAAGATCTAATATGATCTAATTATCAGTCGGAAAAATAATCAGAATAGATCCAAACGTTTCCCCGTTCCATGATGTACTTCCACTGGACTCACCAAACAACCCTCACCGTCTTCGCACTTCCCCCTGCCCCGCATCGCACCGTCCGAGGCTCCGGGGTCCGAAGATTCCACGAAGCTAAGGTTCACCCGTAGCGCCACTGAGCAGCGGTCATTGCTGCTGCCTCCGGCCGCTTTGGAGCCCCTAGTAGCTTCTTGCTACTAGTAGCTACTTGCTCCTAGTAGCGATGCCAGGAGCCCCTAGTAGGGTTCTTGCTCCTAGTAGTACGGCCAAGAGCCCCTAGTAGTTTCTTGTTTCTAGTAAGAATGCTCCTAGGAGTACGGCCAGGAGCCCCTAGTAGCGTCCTTGCTCCTAGTAGCGAGGCCAGGAGCCCCTAGTAGCTTCTTAAGGAAAAAGGATCATAGCAAGAACCGGTGTTTTTGCGTCTCGAAATGAACCTTGTGGAGGTGTTCTTTGAGGTTGTCTGCTTATGGTATCTAAAACTAGAGTGCCAGGTGAACTTTGCGATGCTGCCAAAGGCTGGCTGGGATACTGAGAATGTACCAAATGGCTATATGAAAAAATTGCTATCCATCTCGGTTAGTGTTGGTCTTTGATTCACGCTTTACCAAGCCCGCCTTCGATTCGACCCAGGTTCTTCAATTTGTTCTCACCGCCCTCGGTGACACGAGCAGCGACCTCAGAGCCGGGTATCAGTTACGAGGAGGGTACATAGAAGTAACAAATCAGCGATGTGTTTCTCCTCCAAGATGGTTTACTATTGTCATGTCAAAATGAATCGCATCGATCTCTTGCTATCGTGACGATTCAATTCTGGGCCAAGTGGCATAGCCATCGTTGGGGTCGGTGACAAGTTGGCCCACCTGAGTGATCGCAAGGCGCGTCTGCAACATAGGCAGCTCGGCAGCTCCTCTCGAATTACCTTGCTATGATCCGTTGATCATTACCAAAACTTACCAAGATCTGTGGTGATATGTGTCCAAACCTCTCGTAGAGAGGTGCGCTTGCCGAGGCCACCCACTAAGCCCGGCAAATCCTCGATGATAAGCTCCCAATTCACGCCGATGCGAGAGACCTTCGCATGCGTCACCAAAAGATATGGATCAACCAACTAGTAGCGTCCTTGCTCCTAGTAGTACGGCCAGGAGACCCTACTAGCATCCTTGCTCCTAGTAGTACGGCCAGGGGCCCCTAGTAGCGTCCTTGCTCCTAGTAGTACGGCCAGGAGCCCCTAGTAGCGTCCTTGCTCCTAGTAGTACGGCC